GCTCATTCTTTTCACAGCATGAGACCGCAGAGCATTCACCAGGAATGGAGTGTGGTCTGTAGCTCAAAGCCCTGCACCGGCTTGGCTCCCACTGAGATGTGAAGGTGCCCGGGTCAGCACCAGAGGATGGGCAGCCTCTCAGCTCTGCTATCCATATTCATGTAGCTGGAGTGGGAGCTCTGGGCGAGGGCAGGGGGACAGATGGAGGCGCAGACCAGGAGAGAGTAGCTGAACCTGGGAGCAGAGAGCAATCAGCCAGACTTTGTAGGTGTCTGGGCCTTGCACATTCCTGATCATCACCCTTCATTGGGTGGCAGCACGGCCTATGGGGACCCAAGGGAGCTTGTGTATGTGTGGGGGGCTGGGTCATTTCTTTAACCCCTTGAGCACCCCAGCTGAGCACGTGCTGCCCAGGTAGCAATGTGAGAAACCTGAAGTACGTGTAAGGCTGCAGACATCAGTAGGGCAGAGAAGGAGTTAACCCATGTTACATTCTCTGCTGTTGGCAATTGGCAGCAATGAAACGGGGCAGTGAATTTGGGTCTGCGTGGAACCAAGGTACATTCAGTTCTGCAATGAAAACCGCACTGGCAACGGGGGGCATTGGAGGACTGCGCTCCCAGACATGATTTGCAGCCCTTGAGAGCTGGTCAGATGCCACAGAAGGCACTTGCTAGGGATTGTGTTCATGATACAGGCACAAGCCTTATGCATTGGCCTGTGCTAAAACCCTGGCTCGCAGAAGCTAAAGAAGTTTGGCTTGATCTTATACCGGGTGTTTGTCTCTGGCTCGTAGAATACTTGTCTGTTATTGGGGTGGCTCCATCACTGAGATAAATAAAGAGGTTAGTGGGTAATTTAATTTGTTTTTAAACTGATACAGGACACTTACCTTAGTCATTTACTTTTGAACGTTAAAAACGAAGCCCAGTGACAATGACTGGATTTCTGTAACTATAGGAACATGATATTTTGATAAATAGTGACGTGCCATTCACCAAATACACTGATTGTCTCGAGCAAGCCAGATCTGGTGACTCAGAACCACTGGTTGGAGTTGGAAAGTAGATGAATAAAGAGTTAGGAAGGTCAGCTGAATTCCACTTCTGTGTTACCTGGATTATTAAAAACAAAAGGATTTATTTAAATTATCCAATTTCCTTTTCCACACTTGGTTCAGTGTGGACAGTGCAAAAGCCCAGGTCAGTGTTACTTTTGCTTATCGTCAGCTTCGCTTCCTGGTTCTCGGCCTCCGTCACAACAGTAATGTGTGTGTCATACGGATGGTCTTGTGGGTGAGACAGTGGTCTGGTACCCAGGAGATCTAGGTTAGATTCCCAGCCCTGCCCCAGCCTCCCTGTGCAACGTTGGGAAACTCACTTAATTTCTCTGTCCCCCCCCCATGGGGAGAATAACCCTTCCTTTCTCACACATTTGTTTGTCTTGTCTATTTAGATCGTAAACTCTTTGGGGCAAGGACTCGCTTACCCTGTCTCAGCTGGGACCTTTAAGTGTTACCTTCAAGCAGTGGTATTTGCTGTTAGTTGTCGGCCAGTCTAGGCCTCTCTTAGCAACACCAGAGGCTTTTTTGATCAACGACTAGACCAACAAATAAAAGGCCAGGTGTACAATTGCTCCCTGAGTGGCTAATTCATGTTTTTCTGTGCCAGGTGTTTCTTTGGTGCAAATACAACAGGGATCAGATTAGAAGACTGTGCCAAAACCAGAGCGGTAGCCAGCCAACGCCCAAGGGGCTGAACCAAACTGCCAATCAGAGCAGTGAGAGTTGGAGAAGTGGAGGTGGGGGAAGGGAAGGGAGGATTCTAGCTAGAGTTGCATTAACCCTTGTTTCAAGAAAAAGTTCCCACGCAGTCCCGTACTCAGGAAAAGGACTAGCCAGCACAGGCAGACAATGGGCAGAGGGGTTGTTCCTAGAGCCCTGCGTCTTTTGCAAATGTGAAGTAACACGAAATAAAACAAAAAATTGCAGCGGCGGCTTCTGTCCCAGGGGACTGGACCGAGCAACCCCTTCTGGGCGTTGTGACCTGGCACCAGGTTAGGCCTGGCCACCCTTCGGTCATGCAGGGAGGCGCACAGAGTCACGGCACCATTCACTCAACTTTGGCCCTGCCATCCCTCCGTCATCATTGCTCTGCAACACCCCGCATCCATGGGGCTCCCATCCTGGGGGCAGGACCTACCTCCCCCACCCCCTGAGATCTCCCACCCCTCAAGGGCAGGACCTGACTCCCTCCCCTCATGATAAAGTGAAATAACACAAAATCCCCCCCCCAAGGAAAAAAAATAAAAAGAATTTGACAGCGTGCTAGTGGTTTCCAACCAGCGCTTAAAGCACGTTTGTTTTCATCTTTCATTCCCAGCAGAGCACGTGTGATCATATTTTGAACAGCTGCACAAGCCACTGTGATTGGAGTCACACGTTGGTGGCCCAAGTAGGTGGGGCCTAGCAGGTGGGCGGAGCCTGGCCACGAACCACTAGTCCTGCCTCTACAATTCAAGCCCTCTGAATTCTGCTAGGACTTTTTTATGTAACCAACCACATTTATTGTTTCAGGGAAGATGTGGCGGGAGGGGCTGGATTGAGACAAGAGGTGCCTAGATACTCTGGTGATGGGCAGAGATAGATAAAACATGTCTGTAATGGTGTGTTTCTGTAAAATTACTGCAGTATTGTCACCAGATGCTCCAGCTCTGGTGAAAGTTAATCTAGTCCACAAGCCATTCCAGGGTGGAGCAGATGCCTGGCACTCTGCAATGTAAGGCTGGACAGTCTTAAAGAGTCAATGACAGAATATTCTACCAGCATCCTGGAAAATTTTTCTGCCCCTCCTTTTCCTAACCTTGTTGGTGACCAAAATATTCCTGTGTAAATAGAAACCTCTCTGGGATGATAATCCCTGTCCTTCCATCTGACCTGACCCACTCATTAACACCACCATTCCGTGTTGATGACATCATAAAGGGTTCCATGACGGTTGCTTCCGAGGTCTCAGACACAGGATTCCATATCAAGCACCTGAATCGGGGTGGGGGAGCTGGTTATGAATGAGAACACATCTGTTCCAGGCAAAAGCTTTCTGGAGTCAGCTACATGAGGACAAGGGGAGAGGGGAAGAGAGAAAAGAGAGAGAGGGAGGAAACAAAGCTTTCCAGGATTCTGGAGACAATATAGTTGTAGGTTGGTGGATCCGGGCAGCTGCGTGCACCTCCCAGTATGATCTAATCTATTTATAAAGGTGACTACTAAAGGACAAATAAGGGGGTTGTGTCCCTTTTTGATGTACACAAAGGAGGCCTGGAAGTTTTTTTAATCGAACTACTTGGTTTTTTGCATTAGAAATTCAGGTCTCATTGACCCCCGGAGACTCTATGGATGACTGGAGAACTAGCATGTTGATGACATCACAGATCCCAATGAAGTGAAACCACATTCGCTGAGAGGGGAAATTGGTTTTATTCAGCCTCTTTAACCCTGGCTCCTGTTTGGTTTTTGTATCACCCGTTTAACTCAAACACCCAGCAAAAAGATAGAAGAGATGACATTTTTGTTAAAGATTCATATTCCCCTGACCCTTCCATTAAAGACTGAGAAAATGGCCAATGCACAGCTGAGACCCCACCCCTCAGAAGGGTAAAGGCATAGTGCAGAGGAATAGCATCACCACTTCAATCTGTATACACAGCAAAGGGCTGACAATTGTTCCCTCATGGTGGTGGAAACACTGCTCCCCCAGGAGTGAAGTGTATCCCAGGTGCCCTGTTTGCATCCTCTGTCCCCAACATAGAAGTGTTGACCTGCAGGCTGCCAGGAGTGGGTTGATGGCCGTCTTACGCTAATGTAACTTCCCAGCTAGTGGACTTACTGTCCCTGGGGCTCTAAACTCACTGGCCCAAACTGAATGGAGCCCTAAGCCTTTATACAATCTACCACTCAGTTGCTGATAAATAAAAAAGACTCTGGGCTTTCTGTTGTCATTTACAACAGTGCAAAGTGAGTGTATAACGCCACCAAATCTTGGATGAGCTTTTCAAAGCCCCCAAAGGACACCTATTTCCCATTCATGCAGTTGAATGGGAATTGGCTGTTCAAATCTCTCCGGTGCCTTTGAGAATGTCAGCCCTACTCTCTCTCAGAAGGCAAATTAAAAGATCCCATTATTATTATTTTTTTTTTACTCTCATCATTTTAAAGACAATCTCGAGATTTTGACCCCTTGAGGTTGGAAATGCTGCAGTACAGCACTCGTGAAAGGGTTTCCTGCCACGTGACCACCCACCAACTGAGAACTGGTAGTGTTCATGTGATCTGTCAATGTTCAGTGCTATCAGATGATTATTTTTTTTGGACTCCCCAATTTCAGATAAATTGCGTTTCCTTATTAGGCTGTCAGTGCCTCGTTTGAACCTGGAACCTTGGTTACTTTCAGTGCCAGGGTGGCGTTAGCATCCTGGTGTAGTTCAGTAGCGGAGGGGCGGAGTTAGAACTTTAGTGTAGTTCAGGGGGGGGGAAATGTTAGAACCTGGGTGTGTTTCAATGGCAGGGGGGGCAGTGTTACCCCCAGGTTGATAAAGATTTTTCATGGAATTCGGGAGTGCAAAAGACCATTGTACTGCCAACGTAGTTCAGAAGCGTTTTGTTAGCTCTAGGCAGAATTTCCCGACACAATGTTTGTTGTTTATGTTAGAGATGGACACAGCTCTGTGGGAGGAGTGGGCTTGGATCTGGTTCCTGTATTTAGATGAAACCATAGCCCCCTCTCACGCCAAAACCTTAGGAAAGTGGAAGCGTTCAGAGAGATGGTTCAGGTGTTGCTCCAGCTGGTTTATTTATATATGGCTATATCCCCATCTGTGCTGAATTACCAATCCTTTGAGTTGATTTATGTGTGTCCTTATTGCCTCATTCTCAATCAGGCTCATTCGTGCTTTCCTTTATTTTTCCAATCCTTCCTTCTGGGCTGCTGTGTTAATCACCTGAGATGAGAGAAGCTGTCTGTTGTCATGGCGACCCCATCTCTGCTCTGGGCTTCCTGGTAAGTCACCTGCGGATGTTTGATTTGTGCTGAGTCCTTTTGGAGGCCAAAGTGCTAGGAAGTTTTTCTCTGTTAGAAAAGTTCAGTTGATTAACTACATCTTTTCCAAGCCATCAGCAAAAGCTCCAGAGAGCCATTTAAACGGGTCCAAGCATGAAAGCCAAGAGGCCACTGGCATGGCCTCTGTGCTCCCGGTTGGGGCATGGGGGTTAATGGCATTATTACTCTCATTTTATTTTAAAATGTGGATATTTGGACCCAGGAAATATGAGGGGTTATGTCTGGAGCCAGGCCAAGTGCAGACAGACACTGCAAGCCCCCTGCACATAGCTCCCCCAAGCCACAGCCCCCCCGCAGCTCTGCCTATACCCCTCAATTCCAACCTGCGGCCCCCACCTTCCCACAGAGCTCTGCCAATGCCCCTAAACCCCAACCCACAGTCCTCCTGCTATTCCAGTCCTGCATTCTCCTCACAGCTCTGCTAATGCCAGTCAAGCCTGATCCATGGCTCCTCTGTTACTCCAAACCTGGGCCTTTTTGAGGTGTGGGCAAATAGCCGCTTGAGATTAGGCTGACATTGATAGATCTGCCTAAAGTGCCCATCACCATGGTATCTAAGCCCTTACCACCTGTGACCTAAGAGAGGATCTCTCCCTGGATGAAAGACTAGAGCCTGCGTCCATTATACCACCTTGGCCTCTAGCACATGAATTTATAGTAGAAATGGCAGAATTCGGATTTGGGTCCACATTCTGAACACCCCCAAGTTTGCTTTGGACCTGGGCTGAGGGCTCAGTCCACTCCACGGAGGAGGAGCTGGATTCTGGGGGTGACCAAATCATATGTAGTAAGAAAGAAAGAGTGTGATCCAGAGCCAAGCAAGCGCATCCCCATCCAAGTTCACCGTGGAGGATAATGAGCCTTAATGAGCAGGCCACACTAATTGGTAAGTGACTCCAGAGCCCCCTGTGCCTGAGGAGAGGGGGAAGATGAAGAGCCCAGGGGAACAGCAGTGGCTCTGCGGCAGGCTCTGGGTGAGTGGAGGAGGCAGACTGTGCCAGTGAACCCCAGGTGGAGTGGGGGTGCAGCCATCAGCTCAGCATCCAGCTAAAATCAAGTGGTGGGATTAGCTGCGAGGGGAGAGAGGAATTTCGTTTAACCCTTTCACACCAGCAGGTGCATGGGTGTGAATGCTAGAAGGGAAGCAGCCTTTCCTGCGTGGACACCGGGGGTCTCCTACTCCACCCCAGCTGAGCCAACTGCAGCACAGGAACAAGGGCGGAAGGCAGGGAGAAGTTGCTTTATGGCCTCTCCCCTCCGGGAGTCTAGCTGACCCCTGCTGCAAATCAGAGCAGCTCTGGGGCTGAGAATAGCCAGAGCACAGCAGCTTTCTGGCCACATGCCCTGTACCAGGGAATGCAAGGGGCTTATAGCAACTATGCCAGCTGGGAAAGGCCTTATGCTGCTGTATTGCCCAGTGGGCTGGTCTGTTGCCTGTATGGCCCCTTTGTGCACCAGAGCAGCATAAAGAGGCTGTAGGGCCATGGAGAATTGGGCCCTGTAGCCTCCACCCCTACTTTCTAGCTCAGCTCTGGGCTGCTGCTCTGATAGGTTAAAAAGAAAAATAAAGATGCACGAGACATGCAGATCACACGATTGCCGCAACCACTCTTCCTTCCTGACTCCACTGCACCTGCCCCACAGTGCAAGATCTGGATCAGACCCCGACGTAAGGCCCAAGCTGGTGGTCACCTCCCTACTGCACCTGCTGAGACCCCAGAGCAATGACTGGCCTTTGGCCAGGAGAGTCACAATGCTAGTAGGGCCAAGGTGCATTGAGAGAGCTTGGGCAGCCCCCAGTTGCACTGAGCCTGGGAAAAGGTGATGATCCCTGCTCCCCCTTCCTGATGAAATCTACTCACGGCCTCCCCTTCTTTACATTCACATCTAACTTACCTTTGGGTAAATGCCTGCAACTGGAGGAGATGAAGGAGGAATTGAAAGCCTTGGCGTCCTCTTCCCAAGCAGGCTGTTGCTCTTGCAGTGATTCTAGTATGGTATCAGCGCAGTGGTCGCTGCAGTGCACTATGGGGGAAGCGTTGCACCGGCAGAGGTGAGGTCCTTCCAGTGGGATGTTGGACTGAGATTGCTACAGTCTGTATTTGGAAGATGTTCAGGGGCAAGTTACAGCTCTCACTGCACCATTCACAGAGAGCAGGGGCTACCCCTGGCTCCCAGCCAGCGAGCCAGCTCTCATGAGGTCAGGTTCGAATGTCCAAACTTGAGCATTATTACTGAGCACATCAAAACTTATTGCAATGCTCTGCATTGGCAAGTTGCATTGCCATTGTTCACTAGACTGCATGGTATTGACTGGCTGCACTGCAATGCCTTTTGGGCTGAGTGAAGTAGCAAAGCTGCCATCAAATAAAAAAAATCTGTTCTATTGTAAAAACTGAAGCGACTCTGAAAGCATCAGTAACCTAAGCTCGGGCAGCTGAAGGCCAAGGCGTGTGACAGCTTGTCATTTCCCCAGTGGTCTACTGCAAAGGAGCCCAGGTCCTCAGGAAATATTGTCACCTGCACCATTAATCCGGACAGTGCAAACTGCGGTATAGTCCAATGGCTCGTGCTGCCACCTGCTGGCAGAACCTAGAATAAGTCTTTTTTCCCCCAGGGCATTCTTTCAGCGTATTGCTTCCATGTGCAGTTTCTCTGGCCACTGTTACAGTTGTTCTTGAATGTCATGCAAACAAAGCAGAGATGGTGCTATTTCTGTTGCCCAGTATTTCTGCTTGGTGAATCCAGCTTATATGGCAGGACGCAGGGAGGGCTGACAAACAGAGCTGGCATTTTTGGTTGGACTACTCTCCTGCCTAAGGATATGGCTCGGGCCACTGGAGGTGGTTACATCTGCTTTTCGCTGCTTGCAGTACAGAGCCCTGTACCCTCCCCTCTCTGGACTGCATTTGACAGCGAGAACAGTCAGAACCGACCATTTGCAATGCAGACTGCAGGAACAATTACCAGACGCCTAGCAAACAAAGCAATCCTTTGGAAAGGGGCTTTTAATCACCTGTATAATTGGGCCTGAACTGGCTGCATGTGTGTCAGTTGCAGCTGTCCATCCAGAACAAGGTGTGTTGGTAAAGTGCATTACTCAGACTCCCCTGCACTCAGACGGGAGCCTGCTGTGTATCCCAGGACAACACTGAGTCCCAGGCTGCAAAGCCTTCCGATTCACCTAGCCCAGCCTCAGCACTCTGTATGGCACAGCCTAGCCCAGTCCCATGATCAAACAAGGGACAAGCATCCAATGAGGACAGAAAGCAACGCTTTGTCCTTCTGTGTCCCTTTCATCTAAGGGTCCAAGAGCACTTAAACAATGATTTGTTAGAACCCTCCAGCTCCCAGGGAAGAAGATACAAATGGGAAACTGAGGCACAGGTAGAGGCTGTCACCTACCCACGGTCTTGTAGAGTCTCTTTAGCAGAGATGTTATTAGGACCCAGGAGTGCTGTCTCCGCGTCCCGTCAGGATGGTTTTTTTCAATGTTTGCATGGGGGCGCCCCCTCCTCTGCCCCCAGGGAGGTGTCTGAAGCCCTCTCCGAGACAAGAGGTCAAAGAATCAGTAAAGAAATCTGTCCATTTATAAGGTGCCGATCACTCTAGCATCTTGATGCCAAGACGGTAATGGAGAAATAAGGCTCAACCAGAGAGGCCTTTCGTTAACAGCTACATGCAAAGATTTCTCACTGGATTAGCTAAGGGCAGCTCCTACCTGTCCTGCCAATGGGAGGCTCGGTGCTGACAGACCCCTGGAGGGTCCCTGTGAGTGTTTTAGGCAACTGGGGGACTAGTTTTTTCCCAGTTGTCAAATGGGGCTAATTGTACGGGTTAAGAGCTGCTGAGAGGATGCCTCCTCCTGCCACCTGAAACACAACATCCCTGGATGGGTTGATGGCCATGGGAATTGAACCTTGGACCTTAATGCCTGAGCCTGCACTGTCTGAGCTAAAACACCCAACTCCGTCAGCCAAAGCTGCAGCAGGCTCACTGACCTGTATATATGGCCCAGCCATCACTAGAAGGTGGGCAGAGCACCCAACAGAGTGGGTGTAGCTTACAAGTGCACAACAAGTTCTATTGGTCCTACAGAATCCAGGCTCTTCGCCTTGTTCTCGAGCGCTGTCTATCGGCACCTGATCTATTAGCTAATAAACTACATATACACAGACATCTCGTTTATGATGTTGTAACAATATTTATCTGCCCGCTGCTGGGAGGAGCAGTCCCTGTTTGCATAGAGCTTTGAACATGCACGGTCAGTGCTAAGTGCTGGCCAGATCTAAATGTAACAAACAGAGGCCACGTAGACAAAGACACCCTGATGGCTAACAGGGACCATCAGCCCCCGAAACCAGGTCACTTGAGCTGATGGAGACCTTTTTAAACCGTGAGCTAGTAGAAGGTTGTTACTGCTACTGAGACCAGCCACTAGGGGGAGACAAGATCACAACCACTCAGCCAGCGTATTACACCGACGCCCCATAACTTTGACGGCTCCCAATCTAGAGCCGGACCTGAATGTTGTTGCTGGATGCTTCCCAAAGGGAGAAACAGTCACTGGCGTTCCCTCACAGACCAGGGTGGCGCTGCCCCGCACGGGGAACTCTTGGGCATTGGCTAGTTAATTGGCTTTAATGTCTTTTCTTCCTCAGTGCCCAGAGGCCTGCTGGTTTTTGTGATCTGTCATTGGAGAGAGATGGGTCAGCAGAGGAAAAAGAGCTGTGACGAATTAGACAGCAGTTGCTGTTCCAAAGCTCTTTAGCTGCTGATAAATGGAGCGGAGACTGCAAGTGACTCCAGAGGAGCCAGTGAGGCTTTCAGATCGGGCGTGTGTGTTGTGATTAGCAGATGGTGGGACGAACCCGGGTTTCATTTGTGTCCTCAGCCCTCAAGCTCGCTATGATACAGACAGGAAGGGGTGGGACTGACTGGCCGGTAAGGTCAGGCAGAGATGTACAGCACTGATGAGGAGATCTTAATCAGAGATCATTGTAAATTCTCCTCTCAAATGGACTGGAATAAAGCTATTAAGCTAATATAACATAATGGGGAAAGGATGTTCTGTTGATGCAATCTCTGGGGAATCTCAGCCAGAATGAGGGAAGAGGCCAAAGGTGACGAAGCTCTAGCAATAGAACATGGCAGACAGCACATTTGGGGGGGGGGGAGAGGAGGATGGTAGCACACTGTGAGGTGATGGAAGGACTAGGGGAAACGGCTCAGGACTCCAGGGTTCCATTCCCAGCTCTGCCACTGACTCACTGCATGACCCCGGGCAAGTCCCTTAACTTACCTTTCCTGCCTCCGTTTCTCCATCTCACACAGGACAGGTTAGTTCACTAGTATATGTAAAGCGCTTGGAGAGCCTCAGAGGGCAGGCGCTGTTGGCTGAGCCTTCTGTTAAGGGGCCTGGACAACCTGGACCCTGGCAGTAGTTAGCGTCCCCTCGAACCTGCATTAAAGGGACGCTGTCAGCCTGGACGCTCCATAGTTGCTGGGGTTGTGGAGGGGCCTGGAGAGAAGGGATTTCCTTGCACCTCTTTATATTGCAGCTGGCAGCTCTCTGTACAGTGTGTCTTGCACTGCTTTGCGCAGCTGTGAGAGGAGCTCGGATGCCCCCCCCCTTCCTGCTGCCCCTGGCCCTGCTGTTAGGGGTGGGGGAGAGCTCACATGCACACTCTACCCCTACCCTGCTCTTAGAGGGGAGAGCTCATTTGTAGGATCCACTGCACTCTCCCCGCCCATTGTGCCCCAGGCCTGGTTGCGCCCCCTGTGGGGGAGGGAGAGCACTCATGCCTGCTACACTTCCCCCACACTCTAGGCCCTGCAGCTTGGAGGTAGCTCTGGGGCATGTGGGGTTCAGGGATCACAGTCCCCAATACCGCACTGCATGCCCCTTCCCAGGCCCCGGTGCCCTGTGGGAGCTCACTCACACTGACCCTTTGGTCCCAGGATTGTCCAGCCAGCCCCTTTCGCCAGCCCCAGACATTCCCTGTAACCCAAACTTGCTGCTTTTCCTCTCCCCCACATCCGCTGATTTGCCCAGTCAACGGAGAAGCTGCTTAGGAGCAGGGCCAGATTTAGGGGCAGCCAGGCTTGGGCGCGGGGGGGGGGGGGGAGGGGAGTGCACTGGGCTTGGGATGCGGTTTTTGTTGTTAGCGACAAAAGGGCAAAGAGACTGTTTGAAGTAACATGTTTCAGGTATGCCACAGAGGGATTCATTTTTCACTAACCTCCTAGAATGTTCCGGACCTTTGTAGAATCTCGTGGAACCTTCCAGACTTTCTGAGAACTACATTTTCCTTGAACCTTCTAGAATGTTGTCAGCCCTGCCCTCGGGGGTATATAAGGGGCGGGGCATCGCCAGTCAGTCTTATAAGACAGGGATAAATCACACATACAAATCGTGCATCTAAATCGTGAAACAGGCTACAAATGCCACAAAAAATAAGGCATTCAAAAGTTTAACAGATGGGGTGGGGGACACCATTTGGTCAAGGGCCGGCCCTCCTTGGGACAGTCAGGGAGACAGCTCGGCTTCCCCCGACCTGGTTACGGGGGAGCTCCAGACTGTTCTAGGGAAACCAATTCCCTTCTCCCATGGTCCCCTCTGCTGTGCTGTCGAAGCCACCCTAGGGTCAGCCAGTCCCTGCCCAATGGCTGCTGGGAGTTCACCCAGGGTTAGGGGGTTACAGCCTGGAGATGGCAGAGGAAGGGCTGGTGGCGTTCATGTTCCAAATGCCCCTTGGGCTGGGCTCCCTGCTCACCTCTTGTTTGCCAATCACCAACATTCGCACAGATGGGGCTTTGTTCACGTTAACGTCTGGGGGATGGTCTGCTTTGAAGGCTGGGCTGGTGGTTTGGCCACTAGCCTGGGCCATAGGAGGCCTGCGCTCAATTCCCAGCTTTGTGTGATTGTGGGCAAGTGTCTCTGGGCCTGCATTCCCCACTGTCCTCCCTCATGCTGGGCTGTGAGAGTAAAAGTACAGATTGGCCCCCAGACATTATGATTCATTATTTGCATTAGCCTAGAAGCCCTAGGCATAGAGCAGGGCCCTATTCTGCTAGGCCCTCTACCAGCTCTAGTGTTGGGGGCCAGCTAAGGCCTACGGTCGGTAGATTTGCGCAATCATGCATCTTGCAATGGAAAGAAGAGCTTTTGAGTGCCAGTAAAGGGATCCTAGCCGCCTGCTTAAAGAGTTTGTCATCAAACCCAGTAAGCCCTTTGGGGAGAGACTGTCTCTTTTTTCTGTTTGTACAGCTCCTAGCACAGTAGGGTCCTGGCTCATGACTGGAGCGCTTATGGACTTCTACAATATAAATAATCCAATCCAGGAACAGAAACACTTCTGTGTCACGTAGGTGACCAAACAACATGGATAGTTTGAGGTGATCAACCATGAAGGCTAACTTTAGTTGATAAAAATCCCCCCGCTCAATTACAAAGGGCAAATAAATCCTTAAGAGACATGCCCACGTGCTGAAGAATGGGCTCTGTTTATCAGGTAGCTGATTTGCAGCAAGTAATTTCTGGTGTTAACCATGATGGGGAAGAGGATATTTGCCAGGTCAGTGCTGCTTCTGGTTCCATGACTTCATCATGAGTTAGCAGATCAGCTGCCAGCATTTCAGAGCTGATTTTGCCAGTTCCTTTCACGCTCTGGGGGTTGTGGTCCTGGTTAGGGCTGGGCAAATAAAGGATTTTTTGGTTCACTGGCAATTTCGAACAGTAAACAGCAGCAATAAAATGTTTTGGGGGCAGACTGAAATTGAAATTTTTTAAAACTTAGGCAAATCAAAAAGGAAAAGGAAAATCATTCTGGGCGAACTCAAATGGTTCATTACAAGAAAACAGCAACATTCCGTCGACTATTTTTCAAAATGGGTGAATTTTTAAAAAAGAAAATGAAATTAAATTTTGAAACAAAAAGTGGTTTCAAACCAAATATTCTCACTGTTTCCTTTGGAAGATGTTGAAACAAAATTGGTATGTTTTTTTCTGAAGTTTTTCTTTTTAAACAAACAATTCAGTGAAATCAACAAATATTCATAGAATATTTTGGTGTTGGCAAATCTGTTGCTGTTACACAAACTCACTCACATCCTGTTGAGTTCGTGCTTTTCCTTTGTATCGGCCTTTTCTATTTCCTACTTTCCCCCTGACTGCAGCGCTGTCTGGCATCGTGTGACAAGAGTTACAGATCCCAGAAAGGATCGCTTTCTTCTAACACTGAACAAAAGAACTTTATTAGAACAGTGTTATCCATAAAGTTACTCTGCCTTTCCCTCTACTTCTCTTTAGAGTTTCCTGCCTAGAACTACCTTATCTCGGCAGCTTGCTACACCTTTGTGCTACACTACCACACATCCTCATGCAAAGAGGGGACTTTTGGTGGATCCACTATGATCCCTGAGTGTTTCAGGAGTAACTGAGCTCTAGACAGTGCTTTCCCTTTACACTTATAAACTAAAATATACACCAATCACTGAAATGCAGCTACTTCTGGGGTAGAACATGGCAGCTGCTTAACACCAACACTGCACAACAGTTTAGGACAGGAAATTAAGGTTACTGCCTCCAACTGAAGTCCCAAGGGTAATTTTAGGTAGGCAGAACTAACCTCAAGCAGTCAGGACCTTAATTTGACACAGAGATACAGGGCCAAACTCAGATCTGGTGTAAATACAAGTGCAGCTCTACCAAAAACAGTGGATTTGCACCCATTTAAACGTGATCCACATTTGTCTCATTGTCACAACTGTGTTTCCAAAGCCAGTGAAGGCTGTGGGCACCCAGGGTTAAAGTAGGAGCTCTTACTGTCAACATTTATACCGCTGTAGTGCATAGAGGCCTCACCCTGAGAATAAATGGCAGGGTCTCAAAGAACTTATAGGGTTCTCCATCTGGCTGTGGCATTATCCTCATACCACCACTGAGTCTCAGCGGCTGTTCTTTTCTCAGCCTTATCCTAATTTACGCACACATTAAAAGCCCAAACCCCATGGGTTCCTGGGACCTTTGGGCTGGTAACGATGCTGTACTCATTAGCGTCACTCGGGCAGCATCTCAAGGGGAGCTCACAGAGAGAGACCTGCAGTTGCTTCATTTCTGGACTGTCCTGTCCCTGCAGTTTGCCATTTACTACATCCTGCGAGATGCTTTCCCTCTTTTACGGAGAAATTAATCGCCTTCAAGAAAACAACAGAGCTGTCCTGACGTTTGCCCGGTGAGTCAAGCTCCGAAGTGCACATCTGGGAAACGGCAAAGCCAGAGCAGGACAGGTCGTAAAAGCGCGTTGCAGTGATGCTGAGATGGCCCAATACAGTTGTTTGGCCCAGGAGGAGTGGAAAGGGATCATGTGAGGTGCAAAGCTAGTGGTGAGAGCTGCGGTTGTACCGCCAAGGGGACATGATGAGTCAGGGAGGTGCTTAAATTAGCTCCGTGATAGTGGAAGAACAAGCAGCCAGGGTCAGAAATAGCAGCTCCTCTCACCTCCTGTGACATGAGCCTTTGTCAACGGCAAGAAGCCCACACCGTGATGTGCATGCACATGAGCGTGCAAATCCCCATACACTGTCCTCGTGCACACGAGCGTGAGCAAACAAGGCTGGGGCCACATGGCAAAAGTAGCTCCATCGGTGGCCGCGAGGCCGGAAGCTGTAACAAATGCAGGGCTTATCCCCACAGTCTTGTCTAAGCTGCTCTGAGCAGGCTGGG